TCGCCTTCGGAAGCCCATAAGAAGAGAGGAGGCAGGCTTCGGACAGGCCACAGAGAGGCCGCAACAGGCCTGCCAGCTGCCGAGGAGCGTTTGAAGGCGGCCCAAAATGCCTAACGTCGCCTTCGGAAGCCCATAAGAAGAGAGGAGGCAGGCTTCGGACAGGCCACAGAGAGGCCGCAACAGGCCTGCCGAGAGAGGAGGCAGGCCTCGGACAGGCCACAGAGAGGCCGCAGCAGGCCTGCCAGCTGGCGAGGCCTCGGGCCTTTGGAAGTGCTTGGAAGGGTTCTGCTAGGCTTGGCCACCTGCTTCACCCTGCGGTGTCCCAGGCGCCTCCCCGCCCAGGCTTTGGCTATAGGCCGGGGTCGGCGGATATAAGGATCCACCGAAAAACTTCTGAGAAGGTGATTGGACCCAATCCTGGTGCCTGCATGTGGCAGTGGATTTGGAGGGGATGTCCATGTCCTGGTGTTTCACCATCTTTTCTTCAGGGCGTTCGGCCCATGTTGGGGCTCCTTTTTTTGTGGGTATTGGAACTGATGTTTTTTCTATTTTTGTGAGTTGTATTGAAGACATTGTTCACTTTTTATGTAGAGGTTCCCGCAGTCTGGACCCAAGTTGTTTGGCCGAGCCGGAAGGATCAGGTCTTTTTGCGTTGTTGATGGCCCCTTCACTGAAAAAATATACAGGAATCCCATAGTACGTAGATTCACCAGGGATTCACCAAAAGCCTTATCCGCTCTTCCTTTCTCGGGGGGGGTATCGACAGCCCACCACTCCGTTCAACCGGTCGGGTCCGTCGGGTCAAACCCGCCAGGTCGGTGTGAATGTGCCAATCCCTGCCACTTGTCGGTCTGGTCGGTGGCATCCCCGACCTGAATCGGTTGGACAGAAAGGACGGGCGGTGCACCAGTGGTTCACATGTTTCTCTGTGCCCCTCATCAGCTGGTTGCACTGATCTTGGTATGTTTGGCGCGCACACCAACAAAAACGATACTTATTTGTGCATGACGTTCGAAAAAGATGGGTGTCCAAGCAGGTTCCAAGAAATCTCTCGAATGGGGATGGTTTGATCAGCGGAAGAGGGAAACATATATTCAAGCTGTTACAAGTCTTCTCCATTCCGGCACGGACAGAAAACCCATGTATAAAGTGTCAAACATACTACTTCGGAAAGGCGTGTGCTTCAGAAAATGAATAATTTTCCGAACACGAAAGCCGTTTTCATGCTGCCTCCGAAGAACCAGCCAGGACTTGCGAAATCCATCTACATGCCCCTCTACCTCCATCCACCTGGACTCCACCTCCAGACAAGACACATCCAGCTGAAATAGCCCCAGAATTCCAGGAGCCCTGCGCCAGGCCGGAGGAAGCCAGTTGCCGACCCGGAACCCTGGACCTACTTGGACCTCTCCTTGGAGGTCCCGACACCACCGGTCCGTGACGGGTCTCCGGATGTTCTGAAGTCCCCGGCCGTCCCAGCGATAGAAAGACCCCGGAGGTTCCCACACCCGACCCTGCTGCCTTGGGTTTGCTGATCAGGTGATGGTTCATTCCCCATGAAATCCGAACGGGGAAGATGTTTGACTCCTTCTTTTCCAGGTTCCAGGTTGCAAAGCACAGAAAACGCGACCCCCCAAAACGCCACCCAAGGTGCCTTTGCCCATGTTTTCCTTCACTGGAAACAAGAAGTCCATCTTGGGGGACTTGAACTTCTATGGCAAGGTGCGTCCGCTCCGGAGTCGCGGCGGGAGACGCACGTCCGGATTCTCTCGTCCGGATCCGTCCGCGGGATCCGTCCGCGGGATCCGTGCGGGTCCGGAGGGAGGAAGTTGGAGGACTTTGGGGAAGTGGTGCCATTCATCTCCTTCGTCTCCTGGGGGCCATCCGATCCCAGTTGGAGGATGTGTTTGGCTTGGGCGCTTGGAGTGGACACAGAGTGGCTGGTCCACTACACGGCTGGAGCGAGAACTACTTCAGTAGGTTGGAGCGAAGACGAACGCAGCACTGAATCGCACTGTGTTCGTTCAGGTGCGAAGCACGACGTAGGACGGAATCAAAAGACGCAACCTGTGATCGAAGTGCTTTTTCCAACCATTGAAAAAAGCCGTGGCAGCAGCGTGCTATACCAAGCAGCGTCTCTGTGACTTGGAACTGTTGAACAGTTTGGAGGGCCAAAGCATGTAATATATTGTAATATCATGTAATTTTGGAATAGACACCATCAAAGAAACAGCTACATTGACCCCTAAGACCACCCCAATGTACAGCAAGACCGTTAAACACTTGGAGTGCCAATTGTCCATCAATAAAGCATACTCCAATGCAAGCAAAAGAGAATCAACCAACCCTGAACTTCCAATGACTCACTCTACTCCACCTGGCAGTCATAATCCAATATATATATACCATATAAGTTACCATATACTATATACTCCGTATTTGCACAAGCTGAGTGACAGATGTCCTGACTGGTCCTTACAGCAGCCCTGAGAAATCCACACTCCACCACCGGAATGACCGCGAGGCGGGTGTGAACTTCTTTACCCAGCTGAAGACGGTGACCTCCGCCTGGCGGGATGACAGCCACTCGTTCTTGCGCGGCACCCGTACTTGGACTCCGGCGGCTGCGGCAAGCGACGGGAGGTTTGGGGATGAAATTCGATGTCATTTGTAGACTCTTGGATTCATGAAGAAACATCATAAAGAGGTCCTTACAAGCCATTTCTGGTTGTTGAAATATACATCGTGGGGTGTTCAGACCTGTTCAGTCCTTCCGCACTTCTGTTTGCCGTTCCCTTCGACCAAACCACCACCTCCGCCATGGAAGCGGACGCGTTCGCCGTGTTTAGCTAGCGTGCGATGAGTCGGTAGTTGAGTCGGTATAGAGATGCGATGAGGAGAGGGCGTGGGGTTTAATATCGACACCAATGGGACTGTCCTTAAGCTTGGTGAAGTAGCTTCTTGTTGCTATAGGTGAAACGATTCCCAGTGAGATGGGACTGGCTCTTTTCCCCAGGCACGAGGACTGGCACAGGACTGCCCCAGAAAGACCCTTTTGCTCGGCAACCGCCTAGGCCGTCCGGTCGCTGTTCCGCCGTGTTCGCCCTGTTCGCTCGTCCACGGACGTGAGAGACGAACGACTGTCCGACCGGACGGTGTCGGATGTGGCGGTCCAACGGTCCGATGGTGTCAAGGTCAGTCGGGTGGTGAGGTCTCACAGCAAGTTCGGTTGGTCGGTCGGTGGTCTCACAGCCAGCTCACACGTTTTGATGGTAGCAGCCGCTGCTGGAAAAGGAAAAGGAGACTTGCTTTCGGATAGAGGCAAACTCTGATTCTGAGGCGTTTTTGTTGGGCTGTGTGGGGCATTGGCAATCTTCAACAAGGACCTTCCCAACCGCCGCATATGTCGAAGATGGTTGTTCTTCTTTCGTTCGCGCGATGGTTGCGGAAAGAACGAACCGGAATTCATCCCATGGTGCCATAGAGGAATCACCCCAAGAGGATGCCGCATCTCTGAGAGCTATCACAAAAAGACACCATCCACAGAACCTCACCTGAGGTGGTAGATCCTGAAAGGGCCCACTGCCTCTCAGGTCACATTGAGAAGCTCAGCACTGCAGGGGTTGGAGCTCAGTGAGCTGTACCTCAGCATCGCACGCAGAAAGCAGAAAGCGGAGCGTGCAGCCCTGCGCGGCATGAAACATGAGGTTGGTGAAGAAGTGTTTGAACAAGAGATCTTGTTGACATGCCTTGTCAGTCGCGCCAGAAAGCACCTGGTACTCAGATACTGACACTGTTACTTCTGAAGCTGAATACCATCTCCTCGCCTCTGAAGGAAGGTAGCTTGAAAACAAAAAAAAGCCGTCTTTGAATTGAACATGGACATGGTGGAGGCTCAGAGAGGTTCGTCTCTTTGAATGGAACTTTTAACAAGACCTGCAACTAAAAGAGAGATAGAGTAAAGTCTAATGGACGTCAGGGCATGTTGGGGGCCCGAAATCAAGGTTAAATCTTCCAAGCAATAGCATCAAAGGCTCCACCATGAGCCAATATAGATTACGGAAGTGCAACAAGATTGGACAATAGGCACTCTGAAATCACATGAAATCATTCAGCCTGCCTGTTTTGCAGGGGGAGTAGGACTTGTCCATTTGTTCCCTTTTGTTTCTATCACTTTCAACCACTCATCACCATCCTCAACGCCAATCACAGCGCTGACATTTCAATCTCCAGCGCCATGATTTCGCTTTGCTCGGTCCGGTTGCGGCCTCGAACGGAGAAGGAGGAAAAAGCAACGAAGCAAGAGAACTAATCGAAGGGACATGCAGTTAGGAACCATGAGCAAGCAAAGAAACAACAGGCCCTCTCGGTCTATGTGTGAGTAGTGGTGAGTAAATCTGATAATGTTTAGTTCCAGTTCCACATGGAAGAAGCAAATCAGCACCGCATGATTGATTACTTTTAGGATCTTTTGGGAACCATCCTGCACTTATATAATTGATTAATATCAATATAATAGACCCCCAAACAGATAGATTCACACATAGAAGATGTATTGGAGACCATGCCACTATCTATGTAAGGGGACCACTACACCTCTGCAGAGATCGAGTTTGAGACTCGTGCGCGGCTCCGTACTGCTGCCGTTGTACAGATCGGTGCGGAGCCTTCCGCGATCGGCGCGCGAGGGGTCTTTTGCCGGAGAACCCTGGCGCTGGCATTGGTCACGCCGCCGAAGGGGTCCGATCGTGGAGCTGAGGTCCACAAAAGGAGGGCTAGCGGTGGGCGGCAGGTGGAGGGGAATGGACCAGTTCTGAGGTCCCACAACAAGCTGTGCAATTGAGTGATTCTGCCATGAGGGGAAGGTACCTTAAGATCCTTAAGCGTTCAATTCTCTGGGATGGAGGTCATGCAGGTGCTGTAAATGAGCAGGTGGAAGAAGGGGGCTGTCAGGTGCAGAGCATCTTCAGCTGCTTTGACATGAATGACTGCAACATCTCCTTCATCCGAATACCGGGTAGCAAGCTGCGGTCAGAATTTGTTTGAACTCCATCCAGGTGGTTGGGAAAGAGGTCGGGGCGCTTCTGGGGTCTACTGCTAGTGAAATCTCTAGGGCGATCTGTTGGTTCAGTTCGGCGGCCTTAACATATACTGACGACTGACGAACGTGTTGAAATGCCACTTGTGAAGAACTCCATATGCTACCCCCGTCGCAGAGTTGGTTCAGACTACTCATCAGCACAGAGACGAGAAACTTGTCTTGTAGAGTCAGAGTCCTGCGATTCGCCAAGTGGTCAAAGGTTTAGTCTCACGTGGACCGATGGTGTACAGCACAGCGGAGATTTTACCCTTCTATGGACACAACACCAAGCAGCAGTATTGCGCCACTTGGCAGGGTTTTCAGTGGTTCTTTCCGGGTTCTTGGTCCTTGGCTTTGGCTTGTGAAATTATTCGTTCGGAAATGATTCCCCATATTTGTCCAAACAAGTTGGTTCTGACATGTTCTGAGGGAAGATGATGATGCTAGCAGGCACGCTAAGAATGGAGGCCTGCATACTGTATGAACAACATGGACTTAGTGGGTGGAAGGTGCTTGGGCGCATCAATCAAACGTGTGGAAGATAGTGTTTTCTTACGTACAGATGCAAAGACTGTAAGAGACTCAAAGCAATTATTAATGAACTATACTGACTGAGAAAATCTGATATATTAAAGGGGACTCGGCCTTGCACTGTCCACAACATCTTTAAATATGTTGAATCGTGACCGTGTTTTGTTGCACGATGTTCCACCATGTGCGATATCCTTCCGCGACGGTCTGAGGAGTTCAGCAACTTCTACTGGCATGACACGGCCTTCCGTTTCGTGATGCCTGACTTTGCAAAGCAGAGCTGGACGCCGCCCGAGATCGACTGCCATTTCAGCGAGAAGGCGAAGCAATCTGGGACCCTGGGGACCTTGGTCGAAGTCACGTATAGACTGTTTCATACTTGCTTTGTCAAGAGGTTGCAATCCTAATTTTGCAGGTCAGTTATTGAACTTTCAAGTTTGTCAAGAGCCGGTGGAACCTACTACGAAAAAAGTAGATGTTTGTTCAAAACACAAAAAAAGCTATAGATGCTTGTAGGTCAAGGGTCTGAATTGATGAGCGACATATGTTTTCTTTCATGTATTGTAGATTTATTGTATTTAATTTCATTAATTAACGTCGCATGTCGCCCAAGTCTTCAATGCGTCCAGCCATGCCCAGGGGTTCTCGACTCCCGACTCCGACTTATGCCCTTCTCCAATCTATATCATGGTGAAGACATGAACTTGACGTCCTTTCGTAGCTAATTATAGTAGCAAGTGCATCGGAGCAAGTGCATCGCTACGTTAGTAGGAAGCTAGTAACAAGGGCTAACGCGGCCATGCCATCCACGTATCCACCATGATTTGAGGGAGTGGATGGAACAGCACAATAGGCTCGGCCAAAGCATCGGACGACCGGACAATCGAGTCATCGAGATCTCAAGGTTCCTTTCCGTCTCCGACGTTCGACACCGATGGTGTAGAACGAACCATCGGTGTATATGGCCGGATGACCATCCGAGTATCAGAAAAGCTGCATTTCGGCTACCGGCTCTAGTTATGTACAGCTGCTTGAAGCGTCAAAACGGGTTGTCCGAATGTGTTTCTTGTTGTAAACCGCGATGAGTCAGGATCCTCGTGCCACCCAGGCCATCATGGCAATCAAGGCGTCGCTCTTCGATGACGCCGAGCCACTTGGTGTGGATCTCTTGTTTCGGAAGCAAGGACGCATGGGGGAGAGGTGGTTGTTGTTTTTCTTTATGCGGATGTTATTGTTTAAAGATGTTTAAAGTGGTTTCTGATTTTAAGATCATGATCGGGGCAGGATCGTGTTTTTTTGGTTAAACGATGATATTGGAATTCCCTTACCCAAACGCTCCATGTATGCCACATATATGCCAATGTAGGCAATATTGTACATACATGGAGTCTATGGGTTATATGATACATGCAACCCATCCTTTCCGCCGAAGCCGCGCACGCACACGCATCGGCGGCGTTTTTCGCCGCAGCTCGGACGGTGTTGTGGGGCGTTCGGGCCAAGTGGTTTGCTGTTGAAAGGACATCCAAAGAAGATCCCAGACACGACCTGTTTGGGACTGCCAGGACGGACTGCCAAGAAACGGCCAGGGGTGGTGCCAGGGGGTTTGTCTGGGGTGGCAGTCCTATGGCAGTCGCATTGGAGTGTTTGGGTATAGCAAGCTGGATCAAGGTCTGAATGAAATTCAGGTCTTCACTGAGGATGCCTCAATTCTCCTTGAGCAAATCCAAGTTCAATAGAACAGTTTTCAGAAGCGGCGGATTCAACAGGAGTTTTGCTTCGGTCTTGTCCACAGACCTTTGCATATATGGTGAACTAGCCCCCCCCAAAAAAAGTGAACAAACACGCACGTTGTACGTCTCGTAGTCCATTTTGCTTTGACCAGTTGAACATCTTGGTGCAGCTGTTTAAGGGCAAAATCCTTGCAAAAAGGTCTCAAAAGGTAGTGCCATCACATGCCTTGGGGCCTATAACTCTGCTGGAGTCTGCCTCGCGGCCAATGTGTGGGATGAGTTGAACCCCAAACATCCCGAAACCACGCTGCGGGCTGCTGCAGCGACCTGAATCGCTGGCACTTCCAAGACTTGACCAATTCGACCATAAGAACCCCCCTCCTCACAAGCCCCGAGTCTGTTTTCTGCAGAGGTTCTCACCGGTATAGGATTCCTTGAGTCATTAATGGGTAACAAGAACTGGCGATACGATTTCCTTCGAGGGTTGCCACAGATTCTCAATCTGTAGGAACGTCTTGAATCGCCTGACCGTATGGCAGGAGACCTTGGTTGTCCACCGAACATGAACAACATGGACTACCAGACATGGTTATACTCGCGTTCACTCCAGGTGTTAACCGGCAGCCGACAGCCATATGAGTATTTCTTAAATAATTCCAACGTCCGGATTTGGTTCCTGAAATACCCATCGGCGCTGAGGGCGATACGGAAACTGTTCATCAGTACTCCTTCCCCATCGGGCTCCAGGTAGACCTCAGAAGGTATGACTGGACAACTGAAAAAATCCATCCAGCCCAGCCAGACCTTCATTTCGCTACGACGCGTAGCGCGCTTGCTTCGATTCCCAGCGTGGTCGACACGGCTCGAGAGCAGCTCGGCCTGTCTAGAGCAGCTCAGGACCTTCAAGCTCATCGATGCAGCGGTCACTCCGAGCGAGACCAAGGCGGGCACTGTTTCTGGCACTAGCGTTCCCATTGGGGTGGTGCCAGGGGTCAATGGGGCGGCATATATATGGCTATAGTCTATCCCATAGGTACCCCAGGTGACGGGTCCTGGTTCAGGTCACTTGACCTCTCTTGGTTGTTTCATATGAAGAATGGTCATGTTGATATTGTTGATGCCTGGTAGTCTGGTGTGTTGTTGGTTCAGAGAGTTGCATCTTCCGTTCGAGCCGCTATGGATGCCATAGAAAAGTTTATCGTGTGTTACTTTGATGTAGTTTGAGCAAACCTTCACAGGCAGCACAAGCCACCAAGCATCAGCAAGCTGCCCAGAATCATGCAGCACTGGTACTCACTCACATTCATTCACCACATAAGAGTCCGGTTTTGCTCCTTGCTAGAAGCACGCACACATTCCAAGAGAGGTCAAGTGAACTAGGACCCGTCACCTGGGGTACCTATGGGATAGACGAACTAGGGTTCTTCAACCTCTGGTTTGCAGCTATACCAAGAAATGCTCCAACACTGGGCTCAACTGCCCAGCGTACGCCTCCCCACACGTCCCACCGTCGCGGTTGACTCGATCCGACTGCAGGCCTTGGGAAGGATGGTGAAGAACTTCAACGAGGAGCTTTGGTCCAAACACCTGGACCAGGCGTTTCATGTCCGGAACCTTTCGCCTGTGCCGGGCGTGTCCGGGGTCGTTTTGATGAAGCGACTGACGTTGGGGATGAAGAGACGCCGTCTGAGGGTCCGTCGGTGGAGGGTCCGTCGGTGAGACGAGATGGAGGGTTGGTCTCTTGGTTCTGCACATCAATTTCTTGCTGGGTCAACGGTCAACTGATGTAAATTGGAATGTACTGATGGAGTTCGAAGCGAGGCCTCAATGGGTTTCTGCGTTTCTGGGACCACCCCCCCCCCCGCAGCTCTATGATGCTCTATGCTCTATGTGAGTCTATTTAGAATACCGATTACCCAGACCCAGATCACAGCTCGCGTCCATGTTGGCTCCCAAAAACGGTCAGTCCGGTCGGTCGGTCCGGTGTCGATCCGAACGAACGTCGACGACTCGGTCGCGACGGCGAGGATCAATGGACGTTCTTCGGCCGATCCACCTGGGTTCATAGGGTTGTGGGGCGATCGTGGTGGAGTTGGATATGGTGCCAATGATCGGTACAACCTATTCAAACTACTCCGGCCCAATACGGTGCTGCGAGATAACATACGGTCTGAAGAGGTACGACAATGGCGTGGTTCCGCAATGTCTCCCAGGTGTTTGTCCACCAATATCAACCTGCTGTCTGAAGAGACTCCACCACTTCTGCAAGGACGTCATTTTTTGGTTCATGACGTCGCAGCATCAAAGATCGCCTGCGCCAGACCGCCTTTGAAGTGGTCTTCCAGAAGTTCAATTCCTCAAAGAGCCTCAGCTTTCAGAAGAGGTGCAGGTGGTCCCGGTATAGGTGGCCAAACACATATGATTAGGTTGATTATTACACCATTTGCTTTGGTTGGATTTGGTTGATTTTCACTGGCACTCCGAACATGGGAGTGGGAAACAAAAACAGTTTCGATAGACGAGGAAAGTGGTCTTTATGGAACATGAGGAACCCCCGTGGAACCGTGGCCCTGTTTGCATGCGGAGATCTATCCCAGAGACGGGATCGGATCGGAGATGGGATCGGATTGGCCATGGACCGAGGAGATTGAGGGAGTTGCTCTTGAAGACAGGGAAGACCCTGATTGTGGAGGCAGGGAAGACCCGGAAGTTGGGCCATGGACCTGATGGACTGTCACATGTCTCGACATGTGTCAAGTCTAGGACCTCCCCAGTTGGGATAGAACCATGTCTACCACCATCTACCACCCATTGATTTATAAAAATGGGGGTTCCTCTGAAATTAATGCACAACCGTATTAAGAAGTACGTGTTAAGACCAAGCATTTGAGCCTCATTTGAGCCAAGCATTTCTTGGGCCGACGATGTTTGGGCCATGGACCTGGGAGCTGCCCGCCGACGTCCAAGGTGTCAAGGTGAGTTTTGCCAGGAGGATCGAGGGCATCGGCTTCCTTATTGACCGATTTGAAGGTGTTTCCGTGTTTCCCGAAAAGAAAGGAAAGACAACACCTTGCTGGCTATAGGCTATAGGGGAGTTTAGACGACCAAGCCAGGTCAAATCAAATCCTTTCTTTTAATGGATCATTGGAAGGCTACGGGGAAGTCCGATTCTATTGTTGGAACGCCTCTCGTCCCGGTCTCCGCGTCCAACAGAGGTGTGAAGCACTTCTAGCAAGTGGAGCGGCCCAAGAAGCCTCCAGAAAAAGACCTGTTGAATCTGGTGGGGTTGTGGTTCTGAACTTAGGTGATTTCGATCGATCTCACCCAGGTCGGGCCAAAGAAACAAAGAATCCACCGCTTGCGAACCAACTTTAGACCTTGATTCTACGTGACGTGGTCGCATTGTTGAGTTGATGCCCAGATTGTGAAGTTGAGAGCACACAGAACCAGCCTCTTAGAAGCCCTCAAGTCATGTCCACATGACTCATCTTACTCCGGTCGTGGATGCCCTACTACCTAGGTGGGTCATTTCCTGACAGGAAGTTCGAAGCCAAATGGCTAAACCTCTCAACCTCTCCGGTCCTCTCAGGCGGCGCCCAACGACCGCATTTGGGGAGTTGGCATCGCCAAGAGCCACTGGGTCGCCACGGCATTCGGCTTCGCGTTCTTTCGATCTTTAAAGCTCACGAAGGGTTTTTATGATGCTAATTTTTTATGTGTTTGTTTATGTTTTTGTCTTAGGGATGTGTGTGTGTTTTTTCAGGGAAATTATAAAGATTTTGATCTTGGATGTTTGTTTGGGATGTTTGGTGATTTTTGGGTCCAAGAACTGTTTTGGCCCCTCCAAAGGCGGTGACATGCGACTCGGACTTCAGAAGATGCGGCAGTACCGTCGTGTTGAGACCGGTGGCGAATTGGATGCAACTCCACAGCTCATCATGTTCGCAGATTCTGGTTCGATCGGATCCCAGCTTTGAGGCATCATGACCCACAAAGGGCAAGCCAATCATTGGACCTTCTCGGATAGTATCAGCACCCATGGATACCCATGGTGTAGACTTTGCCATGCCATCTCGCCAGTGACTCAGTCCTGAACGTCCATTGACCCGAAATCGGTGGCGTTGCGCGGTGATCGCCGCGGAGACTGTCGACGTTTCCAGGCGATCGCCGTATTTGGGATCCAAAGCAATGGGACGCCTGGCTGGGCGCGGGTTTTTCTGATTTTCTTCTGGGTGTGTTCCAAGATGGACACCAAAGGAAGTTAAAATACGGAGGTTTCTCAGATTGACCCCGTGGAAGAAGGGAAACAGACCAAACCCCATTAGTTGGGGATCTCCCTAAGACCAAAAAATACCCAAATATCAAGATTATTTTGTCAAAGCCAAAGCTCAACACGCCATTCCAACGCACTATATTATGGAAGTGGAAAGAAGTATCATTGTAAAGAGGAAGCGCCATACTCAAAATCCATATTCGTCAGCTGGAACTGATCTCATTGCTTCGGGACCCACATTTGGATGATGAAGGCACCGCTTTGTTGAGACTGCATATGTACCTAGGACCCTTGATTCTTTCCAACAATGTACCAATCATGAGTGTTACAATAGTTGTTTGGGTCTATGAGGGGACTGGCGCTTCCAAACATGGGACAGGTTTATAGACTTCTCAATAGATCCACAGATAGGTGCTTGTGATTTACCGTGATTTACCTACTCGTAGCAGGAGCAAAGCAATGTTATTTGGTGTGTTTGACTTTCCACCATCACCCATTGAACCATGCCTGTGGCACTGGTCATCCCGAACGGAGAAGACATATGCCAGCTGCCCCATGTCACGATCGGTGCTGGAGAATGCTGGAGAGCTTTGCACATCACATGTAATTGTACCGCCTTTAGCATGAAGCACTGCACGTGGAAAAACTCATTCATGTTCAGCATCTTTGTCTCCATTTCCTCCAGCCGGTCTTTGGCACACCGTTGGATGAGGAAGGGAAGAATGTGTTGGGAAAAGCCTTGATGCAGGTGCCGGCACCGAAGGTGGTCGCGAAGTTTGCTGGGGAATCTTGAGGGTTTGTTGGGGCAGCATGTTCTGGGTCATTGAACCCCTAGGAAGTCGCAGTCCTACGTGAATGAAAGGGTTTTGAGGGTGAAGCTTGTCGAGGCTTCACAGATTCAGAAATGAAAACGTGTCAGGCATCCAATGTCCATAAGATGTTTGTTGAAAAAGACGGCAACAAAAACACATCAATGTAACAACGTACACTTTATTTATTGATCAACTCTCGTTTTAGATCATTTAGTTAGTATCAACAAAGAACCTGAATATAAACTGGCGGAAGGTCATTTTCCCTTGTAATCCAGACAAGCATTGGACTTCAGAAGCAGACTGCTTGGAACACCATCCGCCTTTCCAAGCATCAAGGTCCGTTCTCAGTGGCTTTTTCCAAGGTCCATCCCAAGGTCCATCCCTTGCTCTTCCAAACTCCATGTGCTGAGCACTGGAGCGACACGGACACCAGGCGCGCGATCGGCTCATGGGCGGCCCAGCGGAGGCAGCACCAGAGCCGCAGCGGATTGACTCCGCTGGAGCGTCCGAGGCTGGACACGGGGGGAATTGGAGTCAAACAAGTCTTAGATGAATTGCAGAAAGACATATGTATATATACCCTAGGGATCCAAGTACCTTCTCAGAAGGTGTTTGGGGTGGCTGTGGAGGGTCCAAGTGCCTTCTGAGAAGGTACTTGGATCCCTAGGGATATATATATATATGATTTATAATATAACTATATAGTTATATAGTTAATTAGCCTTAAGGTATATCTTAGTAATGTAATAGTAATGTAGACTCTTGATTTTTGAGCTCCCCCTATATGAAGAGTTCGTTGAATCCACACTGGGGTGATTAAACAAAGCAAGCGTCTACCATCTACATTATTATACTTTTAGATAGGTGCGGTCCCTCCTTGGTTGACCTACCTGGCAGGTTGTGCGCTACATGGTGGACCAGGGCTCCAGGTTTTCAAGGGTTTTGACCCATCCCCCCATCCCCACATCAGTTAAATTTGCCATGATCCTCTGACTGACAGGTGCTTAGAGATATACCCCCATGTATATGCCATACCAGGGGCGTTCAAACCGTCAAACAAAAGACCTTGTTTCTCCTAGCAAAGAACATGGCTTCTGTTTGTGAAAAACTGTTTGTTTCATGGTGATTCATGGTTTTTCAGGGCCACTGGTACATGAAGTGGGGATATTTGGATTATCCGAATTCTGTGAGTTTGAGGAAGGGGCGCGTGATGTGTTTCCTCTCTGGTTTCTTCGCCAATGATTGGCCAATGGCCAACTGAAGGCGTACTCACAGACATGGTGTGTCTCTTAGCTTGAGCCATTTGTTTGACCGGTTTGTTCTTCTGTTTTTTCATGCCTATAGACCCTTGTTAGGCTAGGCAATGATATATACCCAGAATAGGCAGAAATCACGTTGCCCAAAAGGAACTTCTCGGTGTGTGTGTGTGTGTTCTTCTTTTAATGTTTTACTTTACAAATCAACCCACTCACCTGACGACCGCTTCCTGGTTCGCTTCCTGTCCTGTTGCTTCCGCTGTTCCCTTTAGGCCACCACGGCTGCACCGGATCCCAAACGTGGGCGCTGGCAGAAGTCCGAAGCGGCGAAAGCGAAGGCGAAGGCGAGAACGGCCGGACTGCCATAGGCCCCATGGGAGAGGCAGTCCTATGGCAGTCCCATGGCAGTCGTGTCTGTGATTTTTTCTCGGAGACGGCTTGGATTTGTTTCACTTTGAGAGGCTTTGAGAAAGAAATCGACCCCTGCTGATCCTGATGAGGGAGAATTGAATCAGGAACAGTTGGAGTTAAAGACATGTCGTTCTTATTTTTGCCGGGTCTTTGCGCGAAGGGCGGGCCTCCGAGTCCACCATTTCTGGCTGGAATCTGACCGGATCTACAACAACCCCAGCTGGATCGGGGTTGGGATGGTTTGGGTACGCACACGTGGCATGCTCGCTCGTGACATTCGCGGTGTGGTGCTGCGGCATGCTTTCTTTCTACAGAGAGCATTGAGCGAGGAGAAGTTCTGCCCAATTTGCAAATTCTGCCTGCAGTCATTTTTTGAGGCCTTTCTTGAACAGGCTGAAATTTGAGCCTTTTTAGAGGATGCAGTGCATACAATTTAACGAACGTACGTTGATCTGGCAGTTTGCTCTTGTAGTCTGAAATCCAGACAAAAACTGAATCAAATATCGCATGGAATTCTAGCACAAATTGTTTGGAGGCATGTGTTTTCTGTCACATTTCAGGCTGGGTCGCCGTTGGTCGGGTGGGCAAGTACTCGCCCTAATGAATGAGCAGGGGTCCAAAACCTGTGTCGTGCGATGAAACGGCTGTGTCATCATAAGGCTGCCTCGCGCCAGAGTTTGTGGGTCGCGTAAGCTCGCGTCATCAGACTTTCGTAATCGCACATATTGCGAAGGCAAAGTCAGAAAGTTGTATATATATATATATATTTATATTGTATATATATATATGCGTACATAACCTGCCCGTAGGTATCTATTGGCATCGTATATTTATAGCAACATAGTCTAAATATTACTGGTATACGTTTGGCTCATTTGGCTCCTTTACTGTATAGCTCTACCAAATACAAGAGACAATCAAATTGCTGGCCCATTGCACTAACGCTTGGGCCGCTCAAATTGGGTGGTCGGAATCAGCAACTCCCTGACAATCCGCTCATTCGCGCCCTTGCTTTGAAAGACTTTAGAGGGTCTTTATTTAAAAAACAGTTGACCCGGTTTCTTAGTGGTGTACATTTTTTTTAGTCAAATGTTGTAAGAAACGGTTCAGGTGCTTCGATCCGGTGCTTCAAATTTACACTTCGACCATGTACACTTCGAGCAAAGCTTGGGTTGTTCGGTTCTCGGTGAGGGTTCGTCGGTGATCCGCGGGGACGAGTTACTGCGGGCCACTTGAGCACGGCGTCCCGCACGGCGTCCCCTCACGTGCCTTCTTTGTTTGTGTGGTGAGCAGTCCCAAAGTGTAGCAGTCCCAAAGAAGAAGTGACCACCATTTGGGACTGCAACATTTTGGTCCATGGGTCATTTGGGACTATTTGTGGACCCATGAAGAAATGTCCAGAAGTTCGTTCGTTGCATTCGCCCATGGGCCCATGAGGAGGACGATCATGTCCAAGCAATCCAAAGGCTTTTGAAGGTCCCGGACGTCCAAGGATTCTTAGGGTGATGAGGATGATGTAGGATGACGTGTGTACATATATATATATATATATATGTATATATTTATCTATTTATTAAGCATATATATATATGATATATCGCATATCATGATCTGTTAGGATGATTATCCTTTCTCGTCTATGTGACCCTCATGTCCCTTTCGGAGGTTGCTTGCGACAAGCAACGGGACATCAAGACCTTGCTGACTCAAAGTCAGGAGCTTTGCGTACCTCGCGGTGATTCTAAAGTGTAGACCTATAGGGTCTGTCCCGTAACCTATAACAGTGAAAGATTATCACCATTTTTGGAGAATGGTCATTAGAGAACCATCATACCAGAAGTAGACTCTCCGGAAGTGGTACCGAAAGTTGGCCTAAACTCGTTGTCACGCAGGGACTGGAGCTGATTTGGTGGGGTTCTTGGCTCAAACAAATTAAGATCTTAAGAGGTTGGTTGCTGAAAGAAACAGGAACCTTCCATCATGTCAGGCTTTGGGTGTGTACCTGAACCCACAAAGACAAAAAGATATAAGAAGTATACACATGGTATGGGCCTCGCACAAGGCCTCATTTGTTGATATTATACATGTTCTTGATTGGGTATCCAGGATTCCTTCAAGTTCCCTTCGATCAACTCGTGGATCCATCGGAGGAGTCTCCAGAGTGTGCGAGCGACTATGTGGCTTGGCGGCTGTGGGAAGAGCGGGCACGGGAAGTGACACTCAGGGATAGAGGCGACAGGATCTACATAGGTGATTTGTACATTCTGATACATTCTAGCTACTTTTTTCAACATTATATTCTATATATGCTATTCTTGTTGTTGGAATCACAGGAGGTAACGGTCTTCCACACTGATGGTTAGGGACGCACTCCTGTGTAATTGTTACTCCTGGTGCACGCCCCATGTACGGTGGCTACTGGTATAGACAGTCATCGAACATGTACTGGAAAACTGGGATCGATTGGGATACCATTCCAGGAGTATGCTCTCGTGATGCCATTGAGGGGGCACCATCTCATGGAAGGTGTTCACAAAACTTTTGAAGACCTTTGATCAATCACATTCAGAAGTTGAAGCCCAGGATGTTCGATGACACATAAGTCTGATGACACAGGATATGGACGGAACTTGAAAGGAACTGGACTTGAAATACCCGGAGATCTGGGAGATCTTCCGAACCACAAGAACCTTCCGCAGACACGACTAATGGGACCGGCATATTTACCGATCAGGCCAGGGGTGGTGCCAATACCGGGGTCCAACATATGGAGCATATGCCAGTCCCATGGCTCGTGTCTGGGATCGGCTCGGTCCGGGTCCGGGTCGAAATAGACCTCGTTGAGCCGACGGGACCGAGGATTGCTATGTGGTGTTGGACTTCGAGGCGACCTGTTGGGAGGGCCGACATGCAGACCAGGAGAGAGCGTTCCGAAAGGGCGCACCGCGCGCCCGGGCGCACGCGAACTCGTGGGACGTTCCTGTTGTTTCACCGTGTTGGCGCCGAAGTCATGTGTACACCAAAAAGTTCAGTTAGTTGTTTGTTTGTTTGTTT